TTAAAGAAATTTATCAGTTGTCCAGAAGTAGAACAAAACTCATTTAGAATACTTTTTAATTTCAAAATATTCTGAATATCAACTTTAATGAAAAAAAAATGTAATCATTAGCAAAAAATAAAATCAAAACTCAGGAAGCTTCTCTTGAAATTTTTATACCTTGGAGCTGTCCTGAATTTTCTGCTTGGGAGAGGGCAGTGGATAATGCTTGAGATGCTAGAATAAAGAGGAATGGAGACAAAGGGACACCTTGTCGAATTCCTCATTGAGCCTGAAAATCACCTCTTTTTGTGCCATTGATCAACATTGAGAAGGTCACCGTTGACAGGCATTGGTGAACTATTTTCCTGAGATGAGGGTGAACACCCAGTTTCTCCATGAGAGTTAAGATGAAGTGCCATTCCAGCCAATCAAATGCTTTGTTCATATCAATTTTAATGGCCATGTAACAACTCTTACTCTTTTCCCTTGATTTCAGAAAGTGGAAAAGCTCACGAGTGATAAGAACATTATTTAAGATGCTTCTTTGATCAACATAGGCTCCTTGAGTTTGATCTATTGACAAAGGCACGACTTTTTTGAGTCTGTTAACCAGGCATTTGGTCAGAATTCTGTAGTTGATATTTGTAAGACTGATCGGTCTATAACCTGTAATCTCAGTAGGCTTCTTTGTTTTAGGGATAAGGACAATGTGTGTTCTATTTAGCTTAGTGCTGATTGTATCTTCTGAGAAAGCCATTTGTATGTAGAGCTTTGCCAACATCCTGCTCAGTGTCATGCTAGAAATTTTGATAGAAGAGAGCTGAAAAGCCATTCGAACCAGGAGATTTGTTGGGATTCATTGAATTAAGAGCATATTCAATTTCCTCCTGGGCCAGCGGTTGAAGTAGTTGATCATTTATCTCTCCCGTTATGATTTGTTGGATGTCATTTAGGATGTTCAGATTGGTTGAGGAGCTGCTTGTGGTGAAGAGGGTGGTAAAGTAATTAATGATTTCCTATTCAATTCTAGTTCAGATCTGGCCCAAGAGCCATCACTTCACCTAAGAGCAACTTTTTTATTAAATTGGCGCCTGCTAATGGTGGATTGGTAGAAAAATCTTATGTTCCTGTCTCCTTCAAAGAGCCACAAGACCCTAGACTTCTGTTTCCAGTGAACTTGCTCTCTTCTTAGCTCCTCAGAAAGCCTGATCCTTAAATTCCTTTCTTTTTTTTTTATCTCCATAGTCAATAGAATTTGGTTGATTTTGAAGAGAAGTGATCTCATCCTTAATCACCTTGATTCGATTCCAAATGCTTCCAAAGGAGTTTCTGTTCCAATCCTTTAAATGCTGCCTACAAATTCTTTGTTTACAGTCTAACTGTTGTTGCACATTAAAGCCTCTCAGGGTAAGGCTGCTCCAGGTTATGTTGATGACTTGTTGGCATTCAGGATGAGAAATCCAAACTGATTCAAAACGAAAGGGTCTAATTCCTTTCAATCTTGGGGACAACAGTTCAAGATTACATGGCTGTGGTCAGACCCTACTACAATTTCATTTAACACATAAGCTTCAGCACAGGTATTCCGCCAAAAGATAGATACAAAGAATCTATCCAAGTGTTCTTTAATTAAACCACCATTCCATCTATTGTTACACCAGGTAAATGGCTGGCCATTCCAACCCAAATCCATGAGACCACAATCCTCAATGAGGTTATTAAATTCCTCCATACTTGGAGAAATTTTTAGTCTTCCTCCATTTTTCTCATGTATACTTGTAATTTCATTGAAGTCCCTCATGTAATTTTTAGCACAAGGAAATTCTGGTGGACTTCTGTTAGGTTGGCAATCTGACATCTCCATTACCCCAATCTACCTGTCGAATAGACTTGGCCTGAAATCTGGAACATTAGGAAGCTAAACAAATTAATCAACACTATATACATGTTCATTTTTTATGCAGGTTTACGGATTCAACTGTTAGGCTTTCAGCCAGACAACTGGGTTCAAAACAGTTGGTAAAGCTATTGTCAATGCAGAAAGACCAAAAAAACTTAATTTGAATCTTGTCCATTTTCAGCTTTTTCATCTTTCCATGTGCTTATCGTTGGGTTTTTTGGTCCATGTGACACTAAGGCTGTATTTGGTTTGAAGGAAAAAAGTAAGGAAAGGAAAGGAAAGGTAAGAAAACCTTTACAAACCTTGTATAGGTTTCCTTACCTTTCCCTTCCTTTCCCTACCATTTCCTTTAAACCAAACATAGCCTTAACAAAAAAAAAAAAACTATTATTTTGGTCTTTTGAACTTCCTGCTGACCAAAAGATGTGCCAAACACCACCTACATCTATGGTTGAAATCACTATGGATGGGGTGCAAACACATATGAAATACATGGTTACCAACTTCAATAATTTATATGAATAAAGACATTTCAATCAACATAGCATTTAACTATCCTAAATAATTTTACTAATAATGCATTATTCAAAACTTTATGACCGAATCTGCTGACCACAACAACATATTGCTGGCCATGTTCATCCAGCCATACATTGGGAACATGGCCACCAGTGTGTGGCTGGGTGAACATGGCCGGCAATGTGTTATGATCAGCATATCCCAACTCATCTTGGAGGTCTGTCTTCTCTACATTGTTGTTTAAATTGCCAGATGGGGTGAAAAATATTGAAAGTACTCCCATTGGTTCCCACATCGATTAAGTATAGTCTTATAATCTCTTAATATACAATAAAGGTGAATTTCATGCCCGCTGACCTCGGTAGCCTGAGCTTCTCACCCAAGTGGGAAATTGCTGGCCCGCCCGTTCCAAGTGGGAAGTTGAACCGAGGGGCTTGGGCTTCGTGGTTCTTAGAGTGGAGGGCAATGCGTGAGGCTGGTTTCACAGAACAGCGAACACCTCCCGCTCCTCACAGTGGGAAGGATAACAGGGCCGGTGCTCCCCAGACCCAACACGCCCTAATAGCCGAGTCCCATCAGACAATCACCTTTTTTTTAGTCTGTAATTCTAGAAACACCAACAGTACCAAACAGCCCTCTAAGTTCATCAAAACAATATTTTAGAAATTTTTAGCCTCTCCCTCTCTCTCGTAATAATTTCAACTTATATTAAATATGCATATAGTATATTATTTCTATATTATAATTTAAATTGGAGGGCTTAATTCGTTTAGACCAAAGCCTGTGAATGATTTGAATGGTCCATCTGTTTGGTTGAACCACATAGGGATCAGGGTAAAATATAGCCAGTTATTTCTAAGATGACGGTTCAACCGGTCCAACCATTTATATTAATGACGTGTTGCAAACATTGGTCAAGTTAGGTCAGGGAAAGGGGTGAAGTTACTTGAGGTCCAATGCCAAGCCATTTGCAATATGAGAAGGCACATTTTATAAGTATTAGATAACTTTTAGTTTTACACCGCGAAATTTGATTCCATTTACTTATTTAACACACCGCATAGATGAAAGAGGTAAACTTTAGCCACGTGGCTGATGGTTATTATCCTTACAGCTGGCAAACAAGCTTATAAAAATGTCTGAAGTTGCCAGGTGTAAATTACCAATAGTTGAAGTTTTAAACAAATTCTCTTTGTTCCCATATCGGCTACAAGGAGTCATATACTGTCTTAATATACAATAGAGATGAATCATGTTGTTGCTGAGCTCGGTAACGTGAGCTTGTCACCCAAGTGGGGGCATTAAGGTGGCCGGACGTGGGTTCAGCTTTGAGAGGTAGGGTCTTGTGGTGGGTTCTTGCTGGCCTGTCCGTTCCAAATGGGGAGTTGGACCAAGGGGCTTGAGCGAAGGCTTTGGCCTCGTGGTTCTTAGAGTGGAGGGTAATGCGTCAGCTGGCTTCACAGAACAGCGAATACCTCCCGCTCCAAATAGTGGAAGGATAACGGGCCGGTGCTCTCCAGGCCCAATACGCCCCAAGGGCTGACCTTTACTGAACGATCACTTTTTGAGTCCTATGACGGAATGGCTAATTCCACCCACCAAGCTACCTATTTAAACTTAAAAATTGGTTTGTGATGAATATGGACCTTATCGCAAGCAGGACCCAAGGCCCACCAAACCATCTATTTAATCATTATGACATTTTATCGTATACTTTAAGTTTATTTTATTAATAAAATAAACTTCTAAATATTTTTGGTTTAATTTATTAATGGTATTTAGTTTCCATATCCAATCCAAGTTTATTCTAAATATGATGTAATAAGTTTGAATTCAAATATTATCAAAAAATTAATTTTGATCTAGGATCAGATCCATGTCAGCCAAATATTCTCTCTGACTTGAAACCCTCATAACTTAATCATTTTTTTTTTGTATTTTTATTATACAATTCATAAAAATATGACTAAAGACAGTGGCTCAAAGAAGTCATGTTATAACCATTGATCCTAATGAAGGGCATGCATCCTACCATAACCATACAATAATTTTAAGGCTTAGGAGAGTTGAAAGTTTAAGAATTAAGGGTTTAGAGTTTAGACTTTAAGGTTTAGTGTTTAAGATTTAGGGCTAAGGTTTACAGACTTAGGGTTTACGGTTTAATGGTTTAGAGTTTATATTTTAGGGTTTTAGATTTAGGATTACGTTTTAGGGGCTTAGGTTTAGGTATTAAGAGTTTAGACTTCAGAGTTTAGATTTTAGGATTTAGGGTTTAAGAAAATAGGGTTTAGATTTAAAAATAAGGAGGTGGCAGGAGCGAAGTATTGCCTACCACTACTATAGAATATGGGGAGTATACGAAGATGGATTTATCGTGGTGGTTTGGGAGTGTTCTAAAATTGAAAGGGAGGCATGTGTAGTCTTGCTTTCTTTTCAAGTCCATTCTTATTTTTGGCTTTTGAGAGGGGGAAAAGTGGTCAATGAAGATTTGATTTCCATTGACCAAGATACCCATGTTCTTCTTTCAGATTTAAGTAGGGTGCATGAAAAATTTATTTTCCTTATGAAATAGTGATACCCATCTCCCAAATGCGTACCCTAATACAGAAAATTGACCTTTAAATTCAAAATGCATATATGGTGCTGATATACACACTTAAACACCAACAGTACCATACATGGTGCTGATATACACACTTAATCCCTCGTATAATTTCGCTTTCTTTCTTTTCTTTGTTTTTCTATTTTGGTTTCCTGGGTTTCTTATAAACAATACCAACTTCTAATTTTAGAAAAATCAAAACTACTCTTTCACAACAGCAAGGGAGAAAGGAAACACCCGCTCAAACAGCATCAGCATACTTCCTGAGACAGCATCGGCGCATGCTGATGGACATAGCGCCTTATTCCATCTCCAATTTCGCGCCTACAGAATGGGCATAACTGCAGTTTTGATCGACAGACGGAACACGCCTGCCAAAATAAGAATTTAGAACATTTCATCAACATATTTCTGCATTGATTTATTCTCTTCACAACCTCATCAGAAATTTAGATAAAATTGTATAATTGCATTACCTGATTCCCACAACAATCAAAGATGACGTCTATTGCCTTGGCACAGCAGATGGAGCAAGTCTGTAATAGTCATAAGATAGTTCCCAAATCAGGAACAGCTAGTAAACGAAATCTACCTATTCAGTCATTCCCTTACAAGAACAATAAGGACAAAGAAAACAAATACAAGAAGAAAAAGAAAAGGAAAAAGAGAAAGAAGTGGAAATAAATTAAACTATTAAGCGATGCGATCAATGTATAATTTTTGCAGGATTCAAAGGGGCGATACTCATGGATATAATTTTCATCTCCCATGGAGAAGGGTATTAAGCATTGAACATGGCTACATGTGTTAAATATCAGTGACCCAAAAAACCGATACATATACTATTGATAATTGAAACCATGATCCTAATCTCTATTGGTAAGAAAAATGAAGGGTTTAGTGGTAATGGTCTTGGTACCAGGTCATCAGAAGAATTGCTTGCTGCTCCATGTTCAATGTAAGATGCATTCAACAACACATTTGGACTTGGTCCCTCAATTCCAAGAGGTGGGGGCAAAGGCGATATATTTGGAGCTCCTCCACTTGGGTGACTGCATTGGACAATTAATAGGCAATTAGGGTTTAAGCCTGCCAAAATAATGTTAATGATGATAATATTAATTAATAAGTAGGCAGTACTGGACAGACTCCACTAGAACGTACCCCAATATGTCTCTTCTTATTGTGCTTCCATGATGTTTACGTATTTCCTTCAATGCTGCTTCAGCAAACTTCGTTCTTTTTCTTTCAATGCATTTATTTTCGGACATGATTTCTGTAAAACTCACAAACTGGAGAAACACAAAACAATCATGGAAAGTTGGGCAATAACAGACTAGCTACAACTAATTAAAGGATAGCTATAGCGATTGAACTTCAGATATCTTTCATACCTGGATGTTATGGAGGGCTTGATCTTGGTCTTTCTTGGCAAATTCCTTCATCATATCCCAAGGCCCATCTCCAACTCCAATTAAGATGATAAACAAAGGGTATGTACTGAAAGGAAGGAAATACGATGAGAACGTGGAAACCCAAGAAATAGCTAAGTCACCATAGGGTTCCTTTTCAGATTCTTGTTTACTTTTTGTTTCAGGATTTGACCTGTCCTGGTGTTGTTTGTTAGTTAGAGGTAAAATAGGAAGTAAAATGATGTGGTCTCATGCACTATATGTTTATATGAAAGAGGAGGAAAGTTATTTATTTAGGAGTATGAATATGATCCCCACTTTATATGAGATGGAATCATAGAATAAATGGTGGTGCAAATGAGACAAAAACTGCAAAATCTGCATCAGGTAGGGGTGTAAATCAAAGTCACAAACAAATGAACATTGTAAAAGTACTGAATTAGATGCATAATTTCCATCTGGTTCAAATTTACCTTGCAGCGACAATTGCATCCATTGTTTCCTTCTGTGTGCTTTGTTGTGGCACCTGTGAATCCAAAGTAATAAAATTGTCGTGGACGCATAGCCTTAACTTAGAACGGTACAACTTTAATTTGTAATAGCTACCAATCAAATTAGACAGTATTGTCTCATAATATGTGCAAAGCAAAATTACTTGCTGAAGCTAAATATGGACTAAACTGACTCTACCCAAGAAGAGAAGTGTACCTGGCCATCTGTAAATATTAATAAAACATGGTACCGACCACCACTTTCCTCAACAACTTTCATAGCCATTTCAATGATGGGGGCAAAGGAAGTTGGCTCTGCCAGAAAAAAAAAAGTTGAATAAAACAAGAACTGTAATAAAACCAGAAAACCAGTCCAACTGAAAATAATATGAAGACGGTGAATTGAAAGAAGTTGAATATGGACCTGCTGGTTGAAGATAAAGAGCTATTTCTCTATATCGCATTTGGACTTCATCGAATCCAACACATTGTCTCTGGTCTGGGTAGAAACTGAAGATATGCTTATCACCAGTCGTTACTGTCACAAGGGAAACCATGATTAATTTATATATCTGTTTTCCAAATAAGAACTGCGAAAGAATTTACTGTATCAGATCAAGCTCAGACAATGAAGTACTACCATCTCCAAATCCAAAACAAGGGATGTTCTCTTCCTCATGAAATTCACCAATTGTAGTTGAAACCATCTGTATTGCTTCTTGATAGGGATTTGTGGAGTTCCCAATGCGATGCAGGCTGCTCGCTCCGAATGAAATTGTTCCTAGTTACGTAGCACCTTTTAGCATGTTGCCCACAATGCAGAAGAAGTTGATGATAAGAATACAGATGAAGAGGGCGAAACCTTTCCATTCATTGCTCTTTGTAAAATCGATACCAATTATGAAATTTGGATGGAGATCGAAGAAACCAAGTAGACCAGGGACCTAAACGGAGGACAAAAGAAGCATTATCAGTAGGCATAAAAATGACAAAAAAAAAAAGAAAAGAAAAGAAAAAAGAACAGAACAGTTCCTAATTAACATTGCAAGCAGCAGCTGATGATCATGAAACACACTAGCTCATCAACAATCCATTAATGGCTTAATTAATTAATCCCACTCAAACTAATGAGTTTTTTCGCCTGATAAGATTACGATTACAGAATTACAGCAAGTATATACAGATCTAGAAGCTACTTTTTTGATAATTTCCCAGGGAGGAATCTCCTCCCAGATCACTTGGAGGAGGGAATCAGAGAACTTCTATAAACACGCAAACCAGAAAGAACCGAGAGGGACCTCCAGTTTTCCTCCACTCCCTCCACCTCTTCCGGCTCAGGGAGCTAGAACATCTTCCTACTCCTAAATCTCTGAATGATTCCTTCCTTATTGGTATAGAAGAGGGGGAAGATATACAGAAATGGTTGATGGGTGGGGCTTCTCCATGGGCCGTGTCTGTGTCGACCCACTGGCGGAAGAGGGAACATACTAGTGACAGACCACCGACAGTCCGATCTCTCAAAGACATAATTTGCTCACCAGTGCGACTTAGAAGTGATGATGATTAGATGAGAGCAACCCCATCTGTAGCAATTGGGCAGAAACCTACAAAGTATCGAGGAATTCTCGAAGAAAAGTAGGGTGTAGACAGACTGAACAGACAATAATTAGCTTACTGGATCGGTTAAAGCGTCTGGATGTATCTAACCTGATCCGGATTATACTTGCAGCAGTAGTCTCCTTTCCGCGTCCCTCGACGACCTTTGGCCCAGAAACCATGGCGTTCAGGTGGAGGACTGTGTGGTGAGAGAACTGACCAATGATCCTCCGATGGAACCCTCGATCCAGACGGCCTTGAACCTGCAGAGCCCATGAATTCTGAGAGAAAGAGAGTAACAGACGTCTCTTCTCAACTCTCAAACTTGAATGGAAGGAGGAGGGACCCTCCACTTCATGTTAGTTACTTCGTCACCACCAGTTGAAGGGTATGTGAAAGAGAAATGAGTGGAGAGAAAATAATAAATAATAATAATTGAATCACACACACACACTTATAAATGACATTATTAATAAATATAACTTTTTTTGATAACTAAAGAAGTCATCACTTTATTATTAAATGGAGGGGCTATATATGTAAAATACCCTCGTCCAAGATATAAGATTGGTCTCATGTTGCAAATTCATTCACTATAATTGTCGGTGCCATCTGGCAAAATTGGGAAGATCTACTTCTTTCATTACTGTCTATCTACTTAATGTCTTCAATCACGAAACATGGGCCGATGGGACTATTTACTTGTAATTGGTTACATTACATAGCATGTGATACACAACGCATAGAGCCGCAGATCGGGGCTCATTATGGGATGGAGACCGGCTATTCGCGTTCATAAACCCATAAAAAAATTCATGAACCCAAACCATTTTTGCTACGTATAAGTTGTGTTGGAACAATAAAATCAAAGTCAACCGTTTGGGTTGAACGGATTAGATCGTACTATGACATCATTTTATACACAAGGATATATATAAATGTATAAATACATATTGATTTTATCAATAGATAATATATAATTATATTTTGCATGTAATATATTTAGTATTGTATTTTTAATTCAATTTTTATTTTTTATTTAAAATATTAAAAATTGTGATTTGAATTTTTCTTTTTTTTTTTTTTTGCAAAATTAGCAAAGCAAGGCACTTATGACCCCTTGGGATGTATAGATATTAAAAAGTTATCCAAAATAATAAAAAAAGATTATTCCAATCGACTATTGGAGTGCAAAGTTATGGCTTTCTAAAGTTTATATATACATTTAGTGTGCAACCTGTGACCTAATCATCGGATCGAATGAATCAACAGCCCAAAATAGTTTTGACTAGATCAACAGTTTTTTAACTAATTCTGAAGTTTTACTAAAACCAGACTTGGAATCATAGTTGATGACGGGTTAAAAGCATTGCTTTTTTGATATATTGATATGATCGTACCTTGAATTAGATAAAATGACATTTTGACGGAGCCATATAACAATTAATCTGACGCCATGATTCTCAATTTTAGCCCTAAAGACACTATCGTAGCAAAACTGCAAAAAAGAATTTGTTTCAAAGCATGAAAGTAATTTGGTTAAATGGTGTAAATGTTTAAAGTATGGAGAAATATTAGAATTAAAAAAAAGAACAAGTGCGGAGAAATATTTGCTACGCCGGTTGGCTTGGTCTAAAGTAGGGGTGTCAATTGGACTAGATTTGGTCCAATCTGATCCAGTCAAATGTGAGGCCATTATAAATGGACCTGGTCCAATCTAATCCAATGAATATTTTGAACCATTTTGGACCGGTCCAATTCAATGTCTGGACCATTCAATATGTTCAAATTCATTTTGATTTAGATTGGTTTTAACCCAAACCTGGTCCATTGATACCTATATTCTTATCTTATATCAATGGGTTAGATATTGGCTTAATCCAACACAATCCAATATAAATTTATTAAGGATGGACCAGGTCCAATCCAATCTAATAATTATTTTGTACCGAATTGATCCAATTCAATATATCTTGTTGGTCCGTCCAACCGCCCAAATTGATTTTGGATTGGATGGGGTTCAACCCAAAACCAGTCCATTGACACCCATAGTCTTAAGACCAAACCTGTGAATCACACAACCTTAATGCCCAACCTTGAATTGGATGAGGTAACGTGATTTTAGGCTCTGTTTGGTTTGTGGGAAGATTTGGGTGGGATGGGATGGGAAAGTGTAAAAATTTACCTTTCTATTGTTTGGTTTTATATATGGGAAAATAATAAGAAAACACTGTTACGAGGGAGAAGAGAGAAGAAGGTGATGGAGAAGAGAGAAGAGGAAGATGGAGGGAGAGACAGAGAACTCCATGACTGAAGCTCCGAAGAGGTCCTCTGGCAGCAATAGTCTCCCCTCCTCCACTGGTGCTTAATCAACCACCGCGTAGTGGTCCGCCCTTCTTCTCACTTTCTCTATAACAGACGATGAAAGCAGCGGCGATCAAAGAGAGGGAATGAAAGAGAGATAGGAGTAGGAAGATGGGAAGAATAGGAAGAAGAAGATAAGGGAGACGAGAGATCGATGAGAAAGGGAGAAAGGGAGGAAAACAGAGTCGCACTGTTTCTCTCCCTCCTCTGTTTGTCGTCGATGGTTCATTTTTCTCGACCCATCCCTTCTCTGTTCGTCGTCGATGGTAAGTGGTAACAGTGGTTTCTTGAATTTTTTCATTGGGGTCACACCAAAAGGGATCACACTATTTTGGTGCAACCCCGATTCCATGATTTTGAGATCTGACATCTCACATTTTTCTCATCCTATCCCTCTATTTCCCTCGAAACAAATAAGAAAAAAAGGAATATTTTTAAAATATTTCCTTTCCCTTTTTCTAATTCCCATCCCACGAACCAAACGAAGCCTTAAGAAAGGCCTCAAAACACATCCAACATTTTGAAATAAGAAAAAGGCACATCGAAAAGGCCACGATTTAAGGTTTTAGTCGAAAGCTACGCCATCTGAGCGGATTTCACGCATCGGAAAGGAAGTATTCCCTGCTTTTTACATATATTTATAAAAATGATTGGCCGGATAAGCAAGCATGGTTAGCAATTGAATAAAAGAATTTATATCTTTACTCAGAAAAAAAAAAAAATGAAGACGTGTCTGTCCGTATTGGTTGGGCTTTTGTAATATAGAATTTACCTAAACCCACTGTCGTGATTCGTGATTGAAGGAAGAAGACAAGCAACAAAGAGAGAGATGATGAGTGGGACAAATGTCTCCCCATATATGAAAGAGTGTAGATATATAATAAGCCTTTGTCCTAATGTCTAAACGGGTCCTACTATTATATAGGAAAAACAATTGGCTTATCCCATAGTCAAAAACCTATCCAATCACAAAGCAGATGTCATGTGCCTCTTTATCTACTATGTTTGGTTATTTTAAATTTGAAATTATTGAGTAGGAAGAAAGAAGAGAAAGAACAAGAAACAAAACAAAGAAAGGTAAATTAACCAATTCTCGTGCACTTTTTTAGTCCTCCTCTTGGGTTGGGATCTGGGTACGGTTTTATTCTGTTTTGGGCTTCAACTCATTCCAAAACCCAAATTGAATCCTAGTGCATCCAATGTGAGAAATATCTACCCATCAGTACATTGTATTTTTCCATAGACATTTCAATGATGTGGGTTCTACTTCTACAAAGGAMCCTGCCAGTCAGAAGATGTGGGACTATTTGTCTGTATTGTCAACACATGGTGAGAGGAAACCATGATTTCTATAAAGCAAATACCAAATTTTGAAGGACTTACTAAATGGCACTATCACACCAGAAACTACCGGGAATCTTCTTCTCATTATTAGAGGTTGCTTCTTCTTCTTTTATGAGGATAAGGGAGGATTCGTTCTCCGACCTTCTGGTTGAATGACTCTTTACCTAAAAGTTGCCCACTATCATACAATTAGAAACCAAACCTTTCCATCCATTGCTCTTTGTAAAGTTGATCCATGATGAAATTTGGATCGGTTCCAAACCCAAGGACTTAATTAAACGAAGGAAAACAATTGTTTGGTGTCATCATTAATTAAGGCCTTTTTGGTTCATGGGAATAGGGATTTGGAATTGGAATTGAAATCGGTCATTCCGATTCTAATTGTTTGGTTGAACAGAATTGGAATTTTACTGTATTCTCCCATTTGTGGGAATAGTCATTCAATTCCCCTATCTTGGGAATGAAATCCCATTTCAATGATTTGGATTCTTATCTGAACCAAATAGATTATGAGAACAGGCCATTCCAATTCTAATTTCAATTACAATTCCAAGAGATTTTGATTCTGATTCCAACTATAAATTAATTAAATGGACCCTAGTTTCTTAGAAAATAGGGTTGCATGCACTTGCACCCACAATAATAATAATAACACATATAATGCCAGAAAGATATGATACTGGGAAGGGCTTTAACCAATCATCAAAATCTCCCATGAATTCCTATGAATGTCATCTGGTTGGTTACTGCTTTTCCAAGCCTAATGAGGTGGTTTCATGAATTATGCTTGGATAAACAAGAATCAGCCGAGTTATCACACCTAGGCACAAATTGCACAGAGCAGGATAGTCCAGAAAGGTGAATTGTGCAATCTGCGAGCAAATAATGGATGAAGTACTAGTCTCCGACAGAGCTTTTATCACAAGCATTTCCTTCAATCAAGAGCCGAGAAGAACTCGAGGCCTTCAAGCATTGTCTAACCCTCAGTCTTATCATTACCCAACCCTCACTACCTAATCAGGTGACTTGTGCAAGTTGTAGAACAGAAATTACCTTTTGCTGGTTTGATCCACTTGGGGTTTGCTATCCAAAAATTATTCACACGTCCTTACACAAGGCCACTACCACCACATATTTTAGGAACATCTCTCTATCAATGACAAGGGGTGATATTCCCAATGTACAGTTGTAATGCCCTAATTACAATATATATAGAAAACTTTTGGGGTTAATTACTTTGCAACCCCATAGTCTACTAGTTCTTAATAGTTCTTACATGGCTGGAGACATTATTGAGTAAAACATGTCTGGTTCTAGGTGTGCCTCCATAAATTCATGCTGAGAATTTTTTTTTTTCTTCTTACTTAAGTTCTCTTCTTATTGTAATTTTGAAATGCTTTCATTTTTTCGTTTTTTTGGTTGAATTCTTCTCTACCTTTGGAGGTGCATTTGCTCTATGGTCTTTTTGCAATCTGTTTGTAGCAACAAAGAGATGTAGTTAACTCTTATAGATTTTGTGTTTCTCTATCTTGACTTTGATCTTTTAGGTCATCTATCCGATTAGCTGCTTTTTGTTTTCTCTGATAGGTGCAAATAATTTGGTCATTTGTCCTTCCTATTGTAGTTTTGTTTTCATTTTTAATAAGTAAAATTTTATTTTAACAAATAAAAAAAACTTTT